TGCTAAAAGTAGTCGACCTCCAAATATCAGAGAAAAATAAGTAATACAACTAATGATAACTTCAGTTAGTGTTGAAAGAGGTGTAACACCTGGAACGAAGGCGAAATCATTTGGATTTTTTCCTGTGAGCAAGCTATATGTTTTTACAAAATAATCATCAAGATAGATTCCAAATGGACGGTCTATTGATACTGTGCTGGCCATTGATTGATATTATTTAAAGAATCAATTAATAGAACGGATCGTATTTCGTTAAAAAAAATATATAACCTTTAAATTATAACTAATTATTTGATCTAGTGTTCAGTCTATATTAAAATGAAAAAAAAATTAATATTTTGATCCGATAAGAAGAACAAGCTAGACAGGCTATATCCTTTTATATCACAAAATTTATCAAAATTGTTACACACAGTTAAAAGGAAAAAGATTTTTAAAAATGTTGGGGACTTGGGGCAAAGGTACGACAGATATGGGCGTGGTTTCTGCAAATCATAGTGATAATTTCGAAATGCATTATTAGCGTTAGACCCAGAAAAAAAAAAAACAAATTAATAAAGTTTCGATTTACGCAATATTTTATATATGCGTTCGAGAGTGAAGCGACAATTCTCGGAGTTTTTTCTATTAATCAATCTTACCTTTTGTGGTTAAGATATTCTTATTAGTCATCACATAATCGTAAATACAGTATATGCTATAACATTATATATTTCCACGTGTCTGGATGAATTCCAGGTTCGCAAATCACCATTATTCGCAATATGCATATTTGCACATGCATTTAATTTCAATGAATTAATAATAGAATAATAAAATGGTATATATATATATATATATATATATATATATATATATTTTATGCATGTAATTTAGAGTACGACAATATATATATATATTTATATGCTAATTACTGAGAAGACCAGATTGTGTACTGTGTAGAAATTGGTAAGACGCGTATACTATAAGGACGCGTAAATGTATATGCAGTAGGTAGTGTGGAATGTAGATCTTTATTACTTTAGGATTTATTCAAAATGAGTTTTTGTTACTTTTTAATTTCTAAATTGGTAAATTGATGTCATTACGTAACATATTTTTACATACACTCTAAATTTCCTTATCTTGTGACAGTGCCCAATCAACTTTTAAAAAAAAATTTTTTTTCCTTTATAAATAGTGAACCTGCCAAAAAGAATAATCATAACGCAGGAAGTGACTCATTTCGCTCTTTTTCACAATACTTTGCGATTAAAAATGCTACGTCCAAACTTTGTTCATAATTAAGTCTAGGATCACAAAAGGTCTTATAATTTTGTTCAAGATCTACGTCTGATAATTCCATTGATCCTCCGATACATTCTAAATAAAGATAATAAACGAAATTAATAAACGACATTTAATTAATTATGATGCATACAATGGCATGCATCATATAATAATTATTTGTACTATTGTAAAATTCATTAAATTATAGTCTTTAAAAAGTTTTTGGCAATCAGCAAGGGCGGTCCCCGAAGTTCGGGTTGATGATCAGCATTTACTGCAGCATATAATTAATTTCGACACAATCGTGATGGCGACATGAAAAAACTCATCGATTTTTTTGGATCTTCGAACCTTTAAAGTATGCTAAAAAATATTCTGATCGAGAAATAAATTTCAATTTTTTTTTTAAGTAGTACTTATAAAAATTTTGAAATTTACTTTTTACCGAATTTTACAATAGTACAAATAAACAATTAAAAAAAAATTTTTTTTTATTAACAAGTCATTGTAAAAAGTTGTTTCTCATAGCTAGAGTTGTTAATGGAGCACTCCAAGTTATAATAAAACATACAAACCACTCCAGTTTTAAACTGGAGCGGTTTATTATAGCTTGGAGTGCTCCATTTAACAACCCTACTCATAGCTTTGGTATGACTTAATCAATAAAAATTCAAATTTCTATAAAATATAGTTATCGCGCCATTATACATCGTTACTTCAAAACACTAACCAGTTACGCCTTCACCCGTAAGTTCAAAGTGCACGCCATTCAATTGGCTTTCATTATTTTTATGAGTATGTATCACTTTAGAAAGTTCCTTAGTAGTGAAATAAAATGTTATTTAATATAAAATCCTTTGCAAAATACAGTGTCATTTAATGAATTACCTCAATTACTGAATTGAAATATCGAGTTTTTACACCTGAACTTGTTTTTTTGGTGCTAATAGTGATTATATTGTGATATCAAAGTAATAAATGAATCAATTAAATTACACCAATAAATATGAATATTATCAAAAATACTTACTTTCCGTGCATCGGATCGCACGTCCAAACAACAACGTGACCTGATTTCTTAACAGCCTTAATGTGACCTGGCAGGAATTTTTCCACCTATTATATAACAAAGCGTTAATTACACTTATATGATTGGCAAATACATAAAATGAAAGACTCCGCCAAGATTGTCATGTGAATAGAGAGCACGCGAC